GCGAAAATTCTTTCGAAGTGCAATGTCACAGCCTGGTACAAATACGCATTTAATGATAGAGCACGTGTTACGCACACGCATGATTACGCAAAACGAACTTTTATCAAGCGGACAATATCCAAATAACCAAATAACAAAATAGAAAATTAATCAATCTACACGCGTAGCATGTAACAAACAGTCGGCTGAAAACAAATGATTAGACAATTGACTATTTCTTAGTATTTTAATTGTTTGCTTGTTACTGAATGGATGAAAATAATTTTTAAAAAACAATACGCACGTGCCGATTGGACCGGGAACTCACTCGTGGCGACTTTCAGCATAAAACAAAACACAACTATAAATACTCGTAAACAGTAGCATGCGCCTCCGCGCACTCTCTCACAATTAAAACCGCACGTGTCCAGCGCAATTTCTTTCCGCACGCGTAATAAACGCTAATCGAAAGCTATTCGCAGATGCCAATTCTATTTAAGCTTACGCGAAGTGTAGGAGTTTATATCATAAATTCAACGACACGTTTTGTACCTATTCTTCCATACTTTTATGCTTTATATATTTTTTTAATTTAAACACACAAGGGGCGTCTTAAGTTTTGTGTGTGCAGCCAGTTGTGAAGAAGAAAATTTGTTCTTTGTTCGAAAACTAGTGAGTAATGTGAGTTTGAGTGACTTGGGGATCGAGTGTGCTCGCTCGAGTGGGACACGAACTCGTCCACATCCTCGTTAAACGCGTGCACATCCTGTCTCCGGCGATTAACTAGCAAACACCCAACACGCTCACAATTCGTGACACTGAGTTATCTGTTATCTTGTCTTTCACTAACGTATTTCCTCATTTCGTCGCCTGGCGGCCATTTTGTTGTGTTGTGCATTCGAATATGTTTTGATTTGATTTTCTGTTTGTTCCAGCAGCCCACATGGCGTCTCTGGGGCGAAGAGAAATCCGACGGTGCGCTGTATACAGTCTACTTAAAAAAAGTCCGCTATCATCGACCGACGCGCTCGCTCTCACAATCCGGGCACTCGGATTCCGAGGACGAGATCTCGCACCTGGAATGGGAGACGGTGCGGGTGCGTTTTGTCAAGGCTGGTACGTTGAAGCGGCTTGTAGAGGCGTTGGCGACCGACGATGGCGAGTTGGAGACGACCTACATTAACGTCTTCCTTGCCACATATCGCAGTTTTTCAACGCCGAAGGAAGTTCTACGGTTGCTATTGCAACGTTATGAGGAACTTTCCGCTCCAACTGAGAACGGCAGGGGGGATCAACACGAACAACACAGAAAGTAAGTGTTATAACCTATATTCTCACCTTTTGTGTAATATTGGTTGCATATTTCGTGTTGTGCTTTAAACTAATCTTGAATATTTTTGCTTAGGACTTTAATATCAGCTCTCCATGTCTGGTTAGACAGTTACCCGGAAGACTTCAAAGAATCTCCAAACCACCCTGCGCTTAGGCAACTTGTCAGTTTTTGCGAACAATTTCTACCTGCAACCGAACTCGAAGCGAAAGTTCGTCATCGTTTAGATCGTTATAGCCGTGAACAACCTCCGAAAATCAACGAATCACTCCTCATCCCACCAGCCACTCTTGCGTTACGCACTGCTCTACCGGGCTGGAAATGTTACCGCCTCCCAGAGGTACCAGTCAAGCATTTTGCCGAACAACTAACCCGCATGGACGTGGAACTGTTCAAAAAACTAGTACCACATCAATGTCTGGGCGCCGTTTGGTCACGCCGTGATAAAAGTCGCTCACATGAAGCTGCGACTGTCTTGGCAACAGTCAATCAGTTCAATGCGGTCTCATTTCGTGTGATATCATCAATCTTGGTCGAGCCGGGTCTTAAACCACTGGATCGTGCCGCAATCATCACGTGTTGGATTGACGTCGCACAGGAACTGCGCGTGTTGAAAAACTTTTCCAGTTTGAAGGCAATTATCAGTGGTTTACAGTCAAATCCAATTTATAGGTTGCAAAAGACCTGGGCGGTTATGAACAAAGAGAAGTTAGAAGTTTTTGATGAGTTGGCGAGGATTTTCAGTGAAGATAACAACCAGTGGACGCAGAGGGAACTGCTCATGCGCGAAGGCACCGCTAAATTTGCGGATACAGTCGGTGAGAACGATCGGCAACTGCAAAAAGTGTTCCAGAAACAGAACAATCACAGTGCTAACATCAGCTTTGGCACCATTCCATATCTGGGGACGTTTTTAACCGACCTCACAATGATTGACACAGCGATACCTGACAGTATTGCCGACGGTTTAATCAACTTCGATAAACGACGGAAGGAATTCGAAGTGCTTGCTCAAATCAAACTGTTGCAAGGTGCTGCCAACGCGTACCATCTATCAGAAGATGTAGTTTTCGACCGATGGTTTGATTCTATTTTGATACTGGATGATCGCGAAGCTTATCAATTAAGCTGTCAAATTGAGCCGTCCAATAATAACATCACCAAAAACAAGAAGAAAACTCAAGGCCATCAAAAGAACGATTCAATCGCGTCGAATTCGAGCAGTAACAGCTCACAATTCTATTGCGATATTGATTCTACCCCTAGCTCACCTCATAATAGCATCGAGCGCAAACTAAGCCCTTCACAGCTATCGAATAGTAGCTCTAACTCATCTCTACCTTCATTAGACGCTTCATTAACCAGTTCCCATTCGGGGAATGGTAAGTTGTCGGTGCCAGTCGTGCCTGGCCTCAGTCCCATCAGTCCGAATCATTCGCAAAAATCCAGTCCTGATTTCTATGTCATCAAAGTGACTTTTGAAACGGATAGCGTCGAGACTGAGGGGATTGTTATGTACAAGAGTATTATGCTCAGTAATAATGAGCGGACACCGCAGGTGATTAAGAATGCAATGTATAAACTTAGTCTAGAAGGTTCGCCGGATGATTACACGTTAGCGCAGGTGCTGCCCGAGAAAGAGATGGTTTTACCACAGAACGCGAATGTTTACTACGCGGTGAATACAGCGTTTAATCTCAATTTTATCTTGCGGCATAAAAGCAGCATCAAAGGGGCTGCTGCGGCGGGCGGGGATAAAGCTAAGGGCAAATCAAAGTGAATCAAAGTAATGAAAGCGTTTATGATTGCGGCCATGTTTATTTCTGGTTGTTTATGATTAACTTGAAACCATTTCAGAAAACAGTATTGATTTTTTAGTGATTAATCTGAAACGAAAAGAATACATGGTTTCCAACATTAATTTTTATTTAAACATATAAAAACTAAATGAATTGTAATGAGCAAATACCAGTTTGAAGAGAATGTTGGTGCTTTGATTTTTATTTTGCTTTATTACAACGAGCGGACAACAATTAGGAAATTATCGATCAATTTTAATTTATTTAGTGCGCTAATTATGTACTTAATATATCAATTACAATTGCGAGTGTAAATTGTTAATTCTTTAACGCTTAAATGATAAAAACTTAAAAAAAGCGAATATAACAACTGTGATAACTCGATGAAAAGCAACTGGAACTCTTTAGAAAAGAAGTAAAACAAAATAAACAAGAGTAAAACTGTTTAAGTAGGACACTGATTAAGTTGACACTAATGAATGTAATACTCTGCGTCGAAAGAAATTATCTATACACACCCACTAGGAATAATGAAAATAACGCATCACCAATTTATCTCTAAACAAAACTACTCTACTGTAGACAATTTTTATAACTATATACAATAATACAATTTTACTTAGAGTATTAAACAAAAGGAACACAAGATCTGAATTTTAATAATGAAGCTCATATCAGGTAATCTTATTATTTATATATGTACATGTAACAAATAAATTATTTCAAATAATTAGCTGTCTTTTAAGTACCCAAGAGACGTATGCGGCCGAGTTTGCCTCAGCTTCTCTAATGGTTACCTTGGTTACCACTTGTGGAGCGATGTTCGTCGTTTTGATTTCCGTCTTGATTATGTGCATGCTGGCGATTAGCTTGTACATAAATTGAATTCACGACTTCGTTAGCGTAGATTTTAAGAAATATTAGCCTAACTGATCTATGTTTTGTTTCTTGAACATATTAAATGCCCGGGTACATAAATTGCAAGTCTATATTGTAACTAGAGTAGAGCAGACATAGGATCCTCGATTTTCTAGGATTTCAAGGACGAATTTGTTATTAAATCCAAGGATTTAATACTATAGCAGTAGGCAACGGCCATACCACGTTGAATATACCGGTTCTCGTCCGATCACCGAAGTCAAGCAACGTCGGGCGCGGGTAGTACTTGGATGGGAGACCGCTTGGGAACTCCGCGTGCAGTTGCCTTTTTATTTGTAACAATAATTATTGATATGTTTATATTTTAACTATAGAAGTGACTGTGAATGTGACTTGATTCAGGACACCGTATGATGGTAGTGGTTGATTTGATCTGTTAGAGGTAGTTTCCGACGGAAAATAATATGAATTATTGAATATTTAGCCGATTTTTATTAACTGAAATGATATAGGTATATAATTTGAAAAGTAAATTACTATAGAAGTAAAATTTGAATGTGTTTATGCTTTTTTGTAGTTTTTGAAGATATTTGATGCAATTTTAAAGAAAATATGTGATTTTATGACGAATATATACTTTCCTTAACTATTAAATATTATGCAGTGTATAATATTTATTTATTTATTGCTAAATTGATGAACATTTTCATTAAAATTGCAAAATTTAGTTCATTTATTTTGAATTAATACATTCTAGCGACAGCTACATTTGAAGCTTTGAGTTATGTGTAAAAATCGCTATTCGTTTAGACAGGGTGGTGCATGCGCAGTTGTGTGCACGTGTGACACACGGCCACTGCCATTTAAGTGCGTGACCATTCACTGACATATAGCCAATCACTCACTGCCTCATATGCACGCCACACTTTCTGATACACTTAGTATTTTCTTGAGGTACTTAGAAGTGACCTCAGATGCGAGTGAAAGTCTGCGTGCCCAGTTGTTGTGTAGCCGGCACGCAACTCCTACTTCGTGCGATAAGTACTAATACTTACATGGATATTCCTGTTTCGTGTTGTAAATTCGTTATATCGCGTTATATTTGCTGGAATTTAGTGCTAATAGACGGGTTTTAGTCGCTAAATATTTATCGAGTGTGTAATCTTCGGAATTCAATGTTTTGTGTGTTTATTACAGTCTTGCGTGTATCTGGATCGGTTGCCGTCGGACGCCAGCCGGTCATGTTGTGTGATTGTAAATATTATTTTGGACTTGTGTGAACCATTTGTGTCTTCAGCAGAACACGACTGACGGCTGTTCTACCTGGTAAATATTATTTTTTAAATAATTATGATAAATAAGACGATTTTTAAGGCAATGTTTGGGTTCCTCTGCAATACGGATTCATTTCAACATTGTCTGAAATTGTATAACTAATGTTTCGTTTCTTGTTTGTTTCAATATCTACTCGCATTTGATTTACAGTGTTTGATACACTGGTGAGTGAAATTTTTCATCGTTCATAGTATCTATGTTTCGGTTTTACGGTTTTCCTGCAATTAGAGATTAAGCTTCTTTTTGCGGAAATTTCAGTCAAGCATTCCGCAGAAAATTTGAAAACTTTTTTATAACGGATGTTCAGCGCGACGTTTTTTTTCAATTAAATTAAATTTAAATTTAATGTAAGTTCACATTTAGTCAAATTACGGAAAAGCTATGAGTCCTAGAGTCAAATTTTACTATGATAAAGTGTTCAGAGCGAAGTTTAATTGAAAAAATGGTTGTTTGTAAAGTAGGTTTACGATCGAGATGTTTACGTGATAACGTCTTATTGGTGATATAAGTTTTTGGGAAGTAAGGAATTAATGAAGAAAACAACTTTCATTACTTTTACAAGTTTATTCAAGAATGTTAATTGTTAGTAAGTAGGCTATTTTATTAACCTTTTTTTGTTGCAATTGTTGTAACACTTCACTTGCACTTCACATTTTGTTTCACTGTTAAACATTCAACGAAAACTTAACCGCACGAGAAAATCTCCATTCGTTTGTATGCCGCTAGAGTGAGAGAGACGGAAGGTCGGTCCACTCACTCGAACGCTATGCCTGCCTCCGCTCGTGAGGATTCCGCGTGACAAGTTTCACGGAATGACTGGCAGCGCTCGAGCTGAGACGGGAGATCGGTCCGTCTCTCTCTCGTTATACCTGCGATCGCGCTCGTGAGGTTTTGGTGTGACACAAGTTTCTGAACATGTCACCCGACTAAAACGATTTTAAAGACGTTATCACGTCAAAAAACGTTTAATTGAAAATTTGACTAAATGTGAAGTTACATTTTCCGGAGAAAAATTAAATTTTAAAATTTGCAGTTTCTATTTTGAATGTTGCTATAAAAAGTCCTTTTATTTTGGTAAAATTATTCTCTTGAACTAATAGTTTTCCCGCAATTTGATAAAATGTAAACACACGTTTCCACAGAAAAATTAAATTTGAAAATTTATAGTTTTTATATTCTATGTTCCTGTACGAAGTGCTCCTGAGTATTTTATTTTAGTAATATTTTACTCTAGGACGTATAGTTTTCCCTTAATTTGACTAAATGTGAAGTTCCATTTTCCGGAGAAAATTAAATTGAAAAATTAAAAGTTTTTATTTCGGCAGCTGTTATAGAATATGACCCTGAGCATTTTATTTTAATAAAATTTTACTCTTGGACTCATAGTTTTCCTGCAATTTGATTAAATGTGAAGTCACATTTTCCACAGAAAATTTAAAATTGTGAATTTAATTTTTTTATTTCTGATGTTGCTATAAACCGTTATCTTGATCATTTTATTTTAGTAAAATTTTACTGTTAGACTCATAGTTTATCCGTAATTTGTGATAATACTTTTATAATTTTTAATTATAATTTTTTCTACTGAAGTTGCAACAAAACGTTTTTATGAGGCTTTTATTTTAGTATAATTTGTCTTTAGAATTCACGGTTTGTTTGGAAAATCGCCATAAATAGTTGGAATTGTTTATTGCTAAAATATAAACCTTTATAGTATATAGCCACAATAAATGATCAAATTAAATATCACTTAAATATTTGATGTAAGTAAAGTCGGTCAGCCTTTTAGCATAGAAATAATAATTTCTTGATTTGAATTTTATTAATTTAAATTCCGGGACTACTATCTGTAGCATTCGGAGATGGCACTTGCCTCAACTAAATATCATAAAATAGAATTGTATTTTTTATTTCTATATTTATCAGCAAACGTTGACAGCCGATACGAGAATTGTGTTTGTATTAAACATAATTTACACTTTCTTATCGAATGCCCGTGTGTCGCGTTGCCATCCCCGCACGCCGCACGTTGTCACTTCTTAGTTCAGTTGTAATCGTATGTAACATGCCTGTTGCGGGGTTTATGCTGCAGGCACATTGTCTTATTGGGAGCTGCCGCATTGTTGCTTGTGCCATAGATGGATTGCAGCCAGTTTCGTGCTGGTCGCTGGCGAATCTAGATGTGTTTCGCGCGACTCGTATCGTTTTATCGGACTCTTATTTTCTAAATTTGCATTGTATTCGGTCATCAATGGACTATTTCGTTGTATCATGCATCTGCAGTGTTATGTTAATGATTAATTGTGCGTTTAATGTCCATAATTTTTATATGTTTGCGTTTGATGTTTATATTCCAAATCCATATTCTTGTCATGATGTTTCCCGTCATTAGAAGGTCCTTTCGTACTTCAGTGAGTAACTTATATCTGACTTGCGCTACTCAACACAGAATGTTTGTGTTCTCCAATGTATGAATATAATATTATATTGTATGCAATGTTTCTATTTTAACTTATGTTTTCTTTTAATTGCAGAACTTGCTGTGCCCTAGCAATCCAATGAGCACTGCATTGGTAAGTTTTTATTAAGTTATATTAATCGGTCAAATAATATATGACCTGCGTGTTACAATAGCTTGGGAATTTAGGGTGCCTTGTCTATTTTAATTGCGGGTAATATAGAAAACGGAGGAAACGACAAAGTTTGCCTTTTCTCGCGTTTTTCAAAACATACGGTGGAAAATAGGCAATATCTCGGCAACCCTTCGTGATATTTTAGATTTTTTTTCTATTATAGGGCAAGAGTGAATTTTTAAAATGCACCCTTGAACCCCCGCGAAATTCGGTGGTAACTGCTTCAAAATTTCCGCTTAAATTAGGCCTTTTCTTACATTTTTCAAAACACGCGGTGGAAAACCGGGCATATCTTGGGAACCCCTTGGCATATATTAGTTATTTTTCGATTTTATGATAGGGCAAGAGTACAATTTTAAAATGCACCTTTGAGACTCCGCGAAATTCGATTGTAATTGCCTCAGAATGGCCGCCGAAGTTAGGCCTTTTCTTGCAATTTTCAAAACACGCGGAGGAAAACAGGCCATATCTTGAGAACCCTTTGTCATATTTTAGCTTTTTATATACTTTATGACAGGACAAGAGTGCATATATAAAATGCAGCCCTGAAGCTCTGCGAAATTCGGTCGTAACTGCCTTCAAATAGCCGCCAAAATTAGGCCTTTTCTTGCAATTTTCAAAACAAGTGGTGGAAAATTGGCCATATCTCGGGAACTCTTCGTGATATATTTGTTTTTCTACATTTTATGATAGGACAAGAGTGCACTTTTAAAATGCACCTCTGAAGCTCTGTGAAATACGGTCATAACTGCGTCAAAATGGCCGCCAAAGTTAGGCCTTTTCTTGCAATTTTCCAAACACGCGGTGGAAAACAGGCCATATCTCGGGAACCCTTCGGGATATTTTCAGTTTTTTTTTTATTTTATGATAGGACAAGAGTGCATTTTTTGAATGCACCCCTGAAGCCCCTCGAAATGCGGTTGTAATTGCCTCAAAATGGCCGCCCAGTTAGGCCCTTTTTGCAATTTTCAAAACACGCGGTGGAAAATAGGCCATATCTCGGGAACCCTTTGTCATATTTTAGCTTTTTATCTATTTCATGATAGGACAAGGGTGCATTTTTAAAATGCACCCTTGAGACCCCGCAAAATTCGGTCGTAACTGCCTCAAAATGGTCGCCAAAGTGAGGCCTTTTCTTGCAATTTTCAAAAAAGGCTGTGGAAAACAGGTCATATCTCGGGAACCCTTCGTGATATTTTCGTTTTTTCTTTACTTTATGTTAGGACAAGATTGCATTTTTAAAATGCACCCCTGAACTCCCGCGAAATTCTGTCATAACTGCCACAAAATTGCCGCCAAATTTAGGCCTTTTCTTGCAATTTTCAATACACGTGGTCGCAAACTGGCTATATCTCGGGAACCCTTCGTGATATTTCCGTTTTTTCTTTATTTTATGTTAGGACAAGAGTGCATTTTTTAGATGCACCCTTGAAGCTCTGAGAAATACGGTCGTTACTGCCTCAAAATGGCCGCCAAAGTTAGGCTTTTTCTTGCAATTTTCAAAACACGCGGTGGAAAACAGGCCATATCTCGGGAACCCTTTGTCATATTTTAGGTTTTTATTTATTTTATAATAGGACAAGAGTGCGTTTTTAAAATGCATCCCTGAACCCCCGCGAAATTCGGTCGTAACTGTTTCGAAATAGCCGTCAAAATTTGCTCTTTTCGTGCATTTTTCAAAACACCCCGTGGAAAGCAGGCCATATCTCAGGAACCTTTCATAATTTTTAAATTTCTGTGGATTCTGTTAGCGCAATTCTACGTGAAAATGCAGTTTTGTGCCCTTGCGAAATATTGCCCTAAGTGACCCCCAATATTTGCTCACATTCCTTTTATTTATTAGAATATTAGACGGTAGCAACCATGTGACAATATAATAAATATAATATTAACATAATTTAATTGCAAAGGATTGGAACTGGCGTATGTGACAATACTTATGGTATTTCTTTAATTTTATATTTTAATACATTTGCATATATTTAGTACTGTCCGTTCTAAATACTACGTACGTACTACTTACTAACCGTATAGTTGCATATTGACATATGTGGTAATACTTATGGAATTTCCTTAATAGATTCAAGCGATTTCCGCCATTTGTTCTGAAACTTTTAATGCGATTTTGTAAACGGAATTTCATAATTGTTTATGCAATATTCAAACTCTCGTTCTCTTCTCTGTTTTAGTGATCTCAGCGAAAAACAGCGAAGTACGAGAAGACCGCAATTCAGAGAAGCAAGTTGGGAATAATAAGAATAAGGAAGAAGTGGTAGGAGTACAGAATAAGATGTGAAAGCCATCCCAAGAATACGCTAGTAAAGTATCTACCTTAGCGCCTCCTCGTGGCTTATTTCTTAAATAGTGAGTGATCTGAAAACTTGAGTACCATATGTTGTATATTATATATGTAATTGCCAGTGAATTAATAATTTTACAAAATGGATAAAAAAGTATCAAGTCGTGCTTGTTGCGTTGTCGACTGTAAAAACACTCAAAGGAAAAATCCAGAATTGCAATTTCACCGTTTTCTTGGATATGGAGTACGTCGAGAAATGTAAGTAGTTATTTGTTTGTGGGAATTAATCTTCAAATTTATAATAATAATAAATATTTTCATTTTATTAAAAAAGAAGATTTATTCGCAATTTTAACGGCAAAAGTGAATATTTAAGTAGTTTTCCTACCAAAAATATTTTTTTAAAGGTTAACTCCAACGTTTAACAGATATTTAGGGCTTTTTCACTAAACATTATTCAATTATTCAATTTTAATAGCAAACAAATAATTTAAATTATTGTCACAATTTTATACGTAAATCTCTTATTGCAGGAGTGATGGAAACCGTGGCAGCCTGGAAAAAATTCCAGAATTTGCAGTGCACATTTTGTTGGGGGTGAAAAATCTAACAATCCACTCAATGAATCTTATCACTCAACTATATTACCTCCAATATACGGAAAAAAAAAGAAATTCTAATGCAGGTTTACGAGCTGAGAGATTGCGAAAATGACGGGAAAGAATTTCATCTGCAATAATTAATACAGCTCCAACAGATGCTGCAGTTGATGAAACAGTTGTTTCTGAGAAACATGATATTGGCATACAAACAAAAAAATTTTGTCGACATTTTTTAAAAGTTTAATTATTGATAATATATTCAATAATAAAGTGTAAACATTAGCTTGACAGGTGTAGCTTACCCAGCATTTAAAAAATAAGCCACGAGGCGGCGCTAAGGTAGATACTTTACTAGCGTATACACTTTCTTATCGCATTGCCGTGTGTCGTCGTTGCCAGCACCTCACGCCGCATGTTGCTGCATCTTAGTCGCGTGCCATCGACGCGCTGGCCTTGCGCACCTCTCACTTTCTTATCATAAACTGCCTCGTCGTTGCTTATCCAGTTTGCGGCCAGTTTCGGCCGGTCTCTGGTTGATTCAGACGTATTTTGTGCGACTCGTTTCGTTTATCCGGACTTCTACTTTCCAATTCAATGGACTATTTAATTTTAACATGACTTTAGTAACTTTAGTACAGTTATTTATTATTTGAGCGTAAGTGTATCGCGGCCATGTTGTTTTATTCATCATTTGGATGATCCGTGCTGCTGTAAGTATTTTTTAACTAAACAGCACAGATTGTTAGTTTTTGTCCGCTGTGTGAATATAATAATACTTATGTTTTATTTTTTTTGCAGTATTTGCCGTGCTTTGGGGTCCGATGAGTTCTGCATTGGTAAGTTTATAATTCAAGTATATATTTCCTTTAATTTTCGGCGTCGATCATTACTTTGCATTTACGCGTTTTTTTTCGTCGCTGTCCACCGCCTTCTACTAATGATTAAATAATAATTGAATTATTTTTTGTTATTGGGAGTAACGTCTTACAAACTTGGGCGCGGGGTCCAAATATGCAGAATTAAATTCTCTATCCGGTTGTATTTAATTGTTGCAAGAAAAGCGCTTATACGATACGATTTATGAGTTAATATTGGAAACAAACTTGTAAAACGCAGCTATAAATTTGAACGTCACGCCTCATATAGGTTAGGGAACAAAACTGTAATACGATTGAAACATATGCAATATCGATTTTCCATTATTAGTTATTATTTTAAATTAACAATTTAGCTAAGCTTATATTGTCCTTAAAATGTCATTTATCTCTTTTAACTTGTAAAACGATTTTTGACCTTTTGCTGTGGGAAATATAATTATTTTATACTTTGATCTGACAGAGAATTTTCCAATCTTTCATAATCAGCAATTCGTTGGTAGCTATCGCTTTTAGTTTAAGAGATATTAATTATCAAAAATCGTCGAAAAAAAGTATCAAGCACCCCCTTGACAATTTTTTCTTAAGATGTAAAATTTTATCTCTCAGATTTCCATTGTAACTATCCTATCTTATAGAAAATAGTCCGTAGATTAAGATGCTGCGATCAGATCTTAATTATCTCTTTTAGTTTACGAGATATTCGCGATTGAAGAAAATCATCAAAAATTGCAAAATGTCACTTTTTAGCACTTTTAGTGGCGTTTTTTGTCCTTTTGCTGTGGGAAATATAATTATTTTATACTTTGATCTGACAGAGAATTTTCCAATCTTTCATAATCAGCAATTCGTTGGTAGCTATCGCTTTTAGTTTAAGAGATATTAATTATCAAAAATCGTCGAAAAAAAGTATCAAGCACCCCCCCTTGGCAATTTTTTCTTAAGATGTAAAATTTTATCTCTCAGATTTCCATTTTAACTATCCTATCTTATAGAAAATAGTCCGTAGATTAAGATGCTGCGATCAGATCTTAATTATCTCTTTTAGTTTACGAGATATTTGCGATTGAAATAAATCGTCAGAATTTGAAAAATTGTAATTTTTAGCACTTTCAGTCGCGTTTTTCTAGCTTTTATCTTCTTATAGGAGTTATATTGTCTGCATCATTCATTAACTATACTAGCATGAACTAGAAATCATAAATTAGAAGTGTATTAGTTTTGAACACAATTCTGTTACCTGCCTGTCTGTATAAACAACTTTTTTATCCCACGTGTTCCGCATGTCGTTCCCTCGCGCCGCATCTACTTGCTGCATGCAGCGTATTTCAGTTTAGTTTAGATCACAGGTATCCGTGTCTATTGCTATTCGCGCACAAAGTCACGTGTGACAATGCTTGCGCGCCTCTTGTATTTACACGCGCGACAGCCGTCTTATCATATCGTCAGCTGTGGTGTGTATATTCGGCATGCCTTAGCATTTTCGGTTATGCTGCGGCCAGTTACGTGCCGGTGCCTGGTTCCGTCGGACGTGTCTCTCGCGGCTCATATCATTCTTAGAGTTTGATTAATTATTCGGCTTTGTATTAGATTGAAATCGAGTAAATTTTCACCGCTGCGGTTTTATCGTGTGCAGTTGCCGTTGCTGGTCGCTTCATTTTGCCGTCATGTTGATTTATTCATCATTAGGATGATGCATCGATTATCTCTAGGTAACTTTTAACTGAATAACATAGATTATTGGTTTTAGCACAGTAGTATTGAATATAATGTAAAATTTATGAAATGATTTAACTTGTGTTTTATTTTATTTATAGTACTTTCGGGTCTTGGATTCCGATGAGTTCTGCTTTGGTAAGTTAATATTTTAATTAGGTGGTCACTGTTTCAAAATAGCCACTTAAAATTTTTCCTTTTTCACCATTTTTTTCCGCGGTGGAAAACAGGCCGCATCTCCGAGAACCCTTCGTGATATTTTCGTGTCCATACATTTTATGCAGGAAAAGAGTGCATCGGGTGCGCGAAATCCACGCAGAAATTCGGTAGTAACTGCTTGCCTCAAAATGGCCGCCAAAAAGTTTGCCGCTTTTCTTGCATTTTTCAAAAACACGCGGTAGAAAACAGTATCTCCGGGAACCCTTCCTGATATTTTCGTGATTTCGCTACATTTTATCACTTGGGAAAAGGGGCATCTCTAAGATGCACCCCAGAACCGCGAAATTCGGTCGTAACTGCCGCAAAATGGCCGCCAAAGTTTGCCCGCGCTTTTCTTGCATTTTACGCGGTGGAAAACAGGCCATCTCGCGGGAACCCTTCCTGACGCACCGTGTTCGCTACATTTTATCATAGGAAAAGAGTGCATCTTTAATATGCGCGAAACACCGAAATGCGGTCGTAACTGCCTCAAAATGGCCGCCAGAATTGGTAGCAGCACTATTTTGCATTTTCAAAACACGCGGTGGAAAGCAGGCCTATCTCGGGAACCCTGCGATATTTTTCGTGTTCGCTACATTTTATCATAGGAAAAGAGTGCATCTCTAGATGCGCAGAACCACGCGCGAGAAATTCGGTCGTAACTGCTTGCGGAAATGGCCGCCAAAAGTTTGCCCGCTTTTCTTGCATTTTTAAAAACACGCGGTGGAAAACAGGCTATATCTCTGGGAACCCTTTGGGATATTTTCGTGTTTGCTCCATTTATTCATGGGAAAATAGTGCATTTTTTAAGATGCACCCCGAAACCGCGAAATTCGGTCGTAACTTTGCCTCAAAATGGCCGCAAAGTTTGCGCTTTTCTTGCATTTTCAAAACACGCGGTGGAGAAAAGCAGGCCATATCTCGGGGATCCTTCGTGATATTTTCGTGTTCGCTACACATTTTTATGTAGGAAAAGGGTGCATCTTTAAGATGCTGCCAAAGCTACGAAATTCACGGTTGTAACTGCCTCAAAATGAAGCGCCAAAGTTTGCCCTTTTTCTTGCATTTTTTTCAAAACACGCGGTGGAAAGAAGCAGGCCATCTCCGGGAACGCTTCCTGATATTTTTCGTGTTCGCCTTTTCTATTTTTATCATAGCAAAAGAGTGCATCTCTAGATGCACCCCAGAGACGCCACGCGAAATTTGATTAAACTTTGCCCTCCAAATGGCCGCCAAAGTTTGCCCTTTTCTTGCGCACGTGCAAAACACGCGGTGAGCAGGCCATCTCGGGAACGCTTCCTGATATTTGCGTGTTCGCTTCCACATTTTTATCCTGCTAGGAAAAATTGCATCTCTAAGATGCACCCAAATTTCGCGTCGGTCGCGCTTTGCCTCAAAATGGCCGCCAGTTTGTCAGCACTGGCATTTTTTAAAATACGCGGTGGAAAACAGGCCATATCTCCGAACCCGCTGTGATATTTTTCGTGTTTTACATCTACCATTTACATTCCTTAGGAAAGAGTGCATTTTGGGATGCACCCACGAAAATACGAAATTCGTTAACTGCCTCAAATGGCCGCGCCTTTTCTTTGCATTTTTCTAAAGTACTTGCCCGGTTGTAAACAGGCCAGCAACTCTCCGGGAACACTTCGTGATATTTTCGTGTTCGCTACGCTGCAGCAGTTTGTGAGTATTTTGTGAGTTGATTCAACTAGAGATTTTCTTTCTGAGAAACACCCATATTCATTTTTGTTTTGAAAACTGCTTTAATTATTTGTTTCTGGGGTTTCCTCGTCATTTTCCTTTTAAATTTTCTTTTGTGACCTGCAATATATTAGTTTCGGAGCCTT